AACCTGTGGTCTCAGGCAATCCTCTTACCTTGGCCTCCCAAAGTGTTAGAATTATAGGCGTGAGCCACCATGCCTGGCCCTCTGTATTATTTTCTAGAAGCATTATAGTTTCATTTTTTTTGGTTTAGGTCTATAATATTCTGGAATTGCTTTTTTGGAGGGGGATGTGATATAAGGTAGTGATTTCTTTTTTTACCACATGGATACCCAGTGGTCTCAGCTCCATTTGTTGACATGTGAGTCTATACCCATTGCTATACAGTATCAGCTTTGTTGTAAATCAAGTGAGCTCCTGTTCTCCACTGCCTTGTGTTTCTCTCTGTGTGCCAGTAACTCACAGCCTTATTATAACAGCCTTCTGTGAGTGTGGATAGATTGTAGAAAACATCCTTCTCGCTTACTCCTCTGCAGGAGTTTTCTCCGCTCCTGTTCTCGTCCTCGTGTCTCTGTGTTTGTCTATAGTTTCATCAGGGATTGCCGAGCCTTTCCCTCAGCAGAGTTGGCCTTTCCTAGGAGACTGCCTCCAACGACAACCACAGAGTTCTAACCTAGGCCATCTTAGTCCTGGATTTTTCATTCATTGGGACATTGGGGTATTTCCCAATCTCAGTCGTGATCAGTTGTCCAAATAACTGGGCATGCTGCCAGAATGCCAGAGTGTATCTTTAATTGCCCATCTTTAGACTCACTGCCCGAAAGCCACAGTTGAAACCTGATTTGATGCCCAATTTTCAAATTTTCAAATTTAATATAATCAAGCACAAATGGCCAAGCAGAATTCATACACAGCCTATGGAGTAATGGTCACTGGGGGACTCATACAGGCATGAGTAGTACCAGATGAGTGGTCTCACTGTGTTGCCTAGGCTAGTCTTGAACTCCTGGGCTCAAGCAGTCCTCCCACCTTGGCCTCTCAAAGTGCCGGGAGTATAGGTGTGAGCCACCACACCCAGCCTTATCTCTTCTTCTGCCAATATCATACTGTCGTGGTTACTAAAGCTTTATATTAAGTTTTAAAATTGGGAAATACAAGTTTTCAAAACTGTTTCGACTACTCTAGGTTCTTTGCATATTCATGTAAATTTTAGGATTGGCTTTGAATTTCTATAATAAAAAGCCTGCTGGTATTTTGATAGGAATTGCACTAATAGAGGTCTATTTTTAAATAAATTGCTTTAGGAGAGTTGCCATCTTGATAATATTAAGTCTTTCAGACTATAAACAGATTATTTCCACATTTATTTAAATTTCTCAGAAAGATTCTCTAGTTTTCAGTATAAAAATCTTGCACTTCTTTTATTAAATTTATTTCTAAGTAGTTTTCTTATGCTAGTATGAATGGAATTGTTTTATTAATTTCATTTGGATTTTTTTGTTGCCAACCTATAGAAATACAGTTGATTTTAGTATATTGATCTCCTATCCTGAACCTTGCTATGCTCTGTGTAATTGTGTGTGTACTTCATGGAATTTTCTATGTACAGGATCATGATACTTACGTACAAAGACAGTTTTACTCTTTCCTTTAGATAATTAATGCCTTTAATTTCTTTTTGTGCCTTATTGCACTGGCTTGCATCTTCAGTTCAAGGCTTACATTATCTCAAGTGCACAAATATATCCTCCGTAAGAATTTTAATAACTAACTTATTAGAAATTATATAGATTTTTTTTGCCTCCCCTTGAGTTTTAATATTTTGGTTTTTCTTAGAATTTTTCTGTTTCATCTGAGTTACCTAATTTGTTGGCATATGTTTGTTCATAATATTCCCTCAAAATCCTTTTAATTTCTTTTGGGTCAATAGTGATGTGTCCATTCTTTCATCCTTGATGTTGGTGATGTGTGCTTTTTTTCTTTTTTCTTGGGCAGACTAGCTGAAGGTTTGTGAACTTTCTTAGCCTTTTCAAAGAATCAACCTTGAGTTTCATTGATTTTTTTTTTTCCTATTATTTTTCTGTATTCAGGTCTGTTAACCTGAGTTATAATCTTTCTTCTGCTTGCTGTGGGCTTAGTTTACTCTTCTTTTCCTAATTTCTTGATGTGGAATCTTAGGTTATTGACTTGAAGTCCTTTGTGTTTTCTGATATAGGTTTTTAAGTTATAAATTTTTTCCCAAGCATTGCTTTAGCTTAATCCCATAAATTTTGATTTGTTGTATCTTTATTTTTGTTCAGTTTCAAATATTTTCTCATTTACCACTTGATTTCTTTTTGATATATGGGTTATTTAGAAGTGTGTTGTTTAATTTCCAAATATTTGAGTTCCCTGATTTCTGTTGTTGATTTAAACTTTAATTTAGTTGTGGCTGAAGAACATGATTTGTTTCATTTCTGTCATTTTGAATGCATTAAGACTTTTATGAGTTGGCATTTAATGTTTTTGGATATGGTTTATATGCACTGGAAAAGGATGCATGTTTTACAGTTATTGAGTTGAATGTTTTATGAAATCAGTTTGATTGAGTTGATCATGCTGTTTAAGTCTTCTGTATCCTTAATATTTTCTCTCTAGTTCTATCAATTATTGGGTGGGTATAGATATCTCCAAGTATTATTAAATGATCTGTTTCTCCTTTCCTTTTGTCAGGTTTTGCTTCATGTACAGTATTTTGTCATTCTATTGTTAAGTGTATATATGTTTATCACTGTTATATCTTCCTGATGTATTGACCTCTTTATCATTGTGAAATGTTTCTCTTTGTTGCATAGTATTTTGGCCTCAAATTCTACTTTGTATGTTGTTAATATAGCCATACCTGTATGGTTATTGATTACATGACATATCTTTTCCCTGTTTCATCCTATTAGTGTCTTTGAATCTAAAGCGTGTCTCATGTAGACAACATATAGTTAGATTTTGCTTTTTTATCCTGTCTAGCAATCTCTATCTTCTAGTTGAGATGCTCAGACCATTTACATTTAACATAATTATTGATATTGTTGGATTTACTATTTTGCTGTTTGTTGTATATGTCTCCTGCCTTTTTGCTCCTCTCTTTCTGTTTGATTGCTTTCTTTTGTATTACATAAATATGTTTCATATATCATTTTAATACTTTTGTCAACATTTTTCAGAAATCTTTTTTCTTAGTTGTTGCTCTAGGGATTATACTGTGCATTTTAATATACCGCAGTCTACTTCAGGTTAATAGTAACTTAACTTTGCTCTAAAATAGGTCCATTCCCTCCTCCCCCTATTTGCTTTTTTTAGCATGTATATTGCCTGTGTATGTATTATAAATTCAGCAATATAGTGCTATAATTATTGCTTTATACAATGTTATATTCTTAGGTAGTTAAGAAAAGAAAATCAGCCGGGTGTGGTAGCGCATGCCTGTAATTCCGGCTACTCGGAAGGCTGAGGCGGAAGGATCGCCGGAGCCCAGCAGGTCGAGGCTGCGGTGGCCGGGAGCGGCCACTGCACTCCAGTCTGGGCGACAGAGTGAGACTCCAACTCAAAAAAAAAAAAGAAAAGAAATGAAAAAAATATATCTATAGAATCTTACATATCAACTTACATATTTCCATATTTGATGTTCTTTTTTTCTCCCTGATTATTGATGGCACTGTCTGGAGTCAATCTTCAATCTCAAGTATTCTTCTTTTAGTATTTTTTGTAAAGCAAATCTGTAGCAATGAATTCTCTCAGTTTTTGCTCATCTGAGAATGTCTTTCCTAGGACTCAATTTTGGAGTAGAGTTTTGCTGCACATAGACTTCTTGCCTTTTCATTTTAGCAGTTTAAATATGGCCTTTTGCTCTTTCCACCTTCCATTGTTTTAGAGAAGTCAGGCAGTCTAGTCTTTACTTTTCCCCTGGACAATGTGATGAGTTTTTGTCATGCTGCTCTCAGGGTTTTCTTTTTATCTTATGCTTTCAGCAGTTTGTGCTATGTCTGTGTGTGGAACTTTTTGTATTCATTCTGCTTGAGATTTTGTGAGCCTCTTGGGCCCATGCATGAATGTTTTTCACCAGGTTTGGGGGCTTTCAGCCATTGTTTCTTCAGATGTTCCTTTTGGCCCTTTGTTTTATGTCTTGCTTTTCCTTTTGAAACTCCTATTTTCCAAATGTTGATACCCTTGGTCATATTACATAGGTCTTCAAGGAGCTGTTCATTTTCTTCCTTCTTTTTTGCTCTATTTCCATCAGCTGGTTTGACTTGGTTGCTCTGCCATCAGGTTTGCTTAGGCTTTGTGTCCTGCTTCCACAGAGGAGCTTCATGGGCAGGCAGAGGTGAGAGGTGGGGGTTCTGTTAGGTTTTGCTGGGCACTGCCAATCCCTCTCATGCAAGTGGCCTTCCAGATCCCCAGACACATTTCAGAACTGTTCTGAGCTCCCTAAAGACATCACATTTTCTAGATTTTCCTTTTATATTTCTTGGCCAGCCCTTTTTTTGGTTTTGTTTTGTTTGGCCCCTGCTGGAAATGCTGCTTCTGGCAGCTATAGTATTAACCAATTGCCACTGATTTTTTTGGGGCAGTCCCCTTGGGGATAGGGCTTTCCTCACTGAGTGAACTCTGAGTAGAAAGGAATAAAAATTCACCTGTGAATGAGTCTTTTCTAGGAGCATCAGGCAGGTCAAGTAGTGACGCTTCTCTGGGGGTGAGGCCTTGGCCTCCTGTAGTGGCTGCTAGTCAGTAGCATGAACAGCTATGTGCTTCTGGACTTTGCATCCCAGGGCTACCTCAGAACTGGAAAAGGGGCATGGGAGTTGAGGACAGGGCACATGAAACACCCCAAAGCTCACCATTCTCATCAAGATTCAGCTGTTTTCTTGAATAGAAGCAACTCAGGAAGGTTGCAAGTCTGATTAGTTTTTAGAATTCTGAAAAAATTGATTTTGATATTTTTGCCAGTGTTCTCATTGCTGTTTGGAAAAGTGAATTCTCAGAGGTCTATCTACACCGTTCCAGAAGTACCTCTCAGCCTTCTATGCTTTCAACTCCTGTGCATGTTTCCTATTGTATATCTAAATAATGGTTTATGTATATTTATTGGCAGCCATGAAAGTCCACTCTTTGATTTCATTGAGAGCTGCTTGAGAAATAAACATGAAATGGTTATTTATGAAGCTGCCTCAGCTATCATCCATCTTCCTAACTGTACTGCAAGGGAGTTGGCACCTGCTGTTTCAGGTGAGTTGTATATTTGATGGCTGGCTTTTGTCTAAGTTCTTAAGTTTTTTGTTTTAAGTTCCACAGGTCTAGAGAATAGGTACTAAGGATAATTTTTGAACCATAGCTCTGTATTTATTTTAGTTTTAGTTTTCTTTTTTTTTTTTTTTTGAGTTGGAGTCTCACTCTGTTGCCCAGGCTGGAGTGCAGTGGTATTCTCACGGCCACTACAGCCTCGGCCTGATGGACTCAGGTGATCCTTCCACCTCAGCCTTCCAAGTAATTGAACTACAGGCACACGCCACCATGCCTGGCTAATTTTGTTTTAATTTACTGTAGAGATGAGGTCTTGCCAAGTTGCCCAGACTGGTCTCAAACCTGTGGACTCAGGCACTCCTCTTACCTCGGCCTTCCAAAGTGCTGGGATGATAGATAGTCATGAGCCAGCATGTGCCCAGCCTTAGTTGTTCTTTATTCCTTTTTCTAGAAATTTCTATTTCCCCATATAAAACTTTTGAAAAAAATTCTACTTAGAAAACAAATGATTTTAAGGTCTTCAGTTTTCCTTAATGTTTAAAAAGCCATTTGCTTTCATAAATGTCAATATTTCTGCTCTTTAAATTCAGGCATTAATGGGTATTCTAATTCTTATAGACAAAAGAGCAAACTTTATGTCCTATTAATTTAAAGTTTTTGTAGCTGAACAAAAAGCACTTTTTCTATGTTTGATGATATGTATTTCATGTGAATTTCTGATGCTGTGATTGAATTTCTTTATTCATGTTTTTAATATGATTCATTATATACTTTATTTTCAGGTATACAATATATGATGAAATGAGCAATAGTCACAGTGATTTTTTTTTTCTTTTTAGTTCTTCAACTTTTCTGTAGCTCTCCTAAACCAGCCTTGAGATATGCAGCTGTGAGGACACTGAACAAGGTAGATGTCCCTTTGCTAACGACTGACTTATATCAGTGTTTGGTTAAGAAATTAAGCATTTGCTTTCTCTCTAAGCTTCATATTATATGGTTTATGGCCTTCACTTCTACAACACATCTGTAGCACTTCACTTGCAATTATGGCACTTACAACTCATTTCTGACTTCTGAGCACTTTATGCAAGAGCCATATTGTCCAATATGATGGCCATTAGCCATTTCCATTTAAATCAATAAAAATAAAATTAGTACCTTATCACACTAGTCACACTTCTTGTTCTCATAGCCACATGTGGTTATGGCTATCACATTGGATAGTGCAGATACTCAACATTTCTGCCATTGAAGTAATACTGTTCTCTTACACAGTGCTTGTCTACAGTAGCACTGTCCAGTAGAAAACCAATGTGAGTCATGTGTAATTTTACATTTTTTAGTAGCCGCATGAAAAAATTTTAAGGTGAAATTGATTTTAATAATGTTGTTTATTTACCCTAATGACATCTCAACATCTAATTATTACTAAGAGATATTTTGACTGGACAACAGAGTGAGACCCTGACTCAAAAAAAAATTTTTTTTTGTTGGCATGTCTCAAGTTTTTGACATCTAGTATCTATTTTATATTTATGGCATATCTCCATTTGGATTAGCTACCTTTCAAATACTTAGTAGTCACATATGGCTATTGACTACCTTATTAGACAGTGTTGGTCTAAAGGGGACACTATAAAAGCATAGAATACACTAAATAACCATAAAAATTTTCAATAAAAGTATAAAGGAAAAGACTTGTCATAGAACAAGTCTGGAACAGCAGTCTGAATTGTTTTTTTAAAAGTTGGTATAGGTCCACAATCGTGGGGCCAGGTATGTCTCAGAATTTGCTTTTCTGTGAATTTTAGAAAGGGTCACATTGTGTTCTCTCTTACCCATTAGTCCCGGTGGGCCTGGAGCAGCATCCCACCATTAAGACATACCCATATTTTTGTATAAAGCATATGACTGTCCTCACTAAGTGGGATAAATTAAGACTTAAATAGTTTTATATTAGTTTGGGCCATAGTTTGCTATTAAATCAATTTTGAACCCAGTACTTTGCTTTGCAGAGTGTTTTCACATTTTCAGAACTGTGGTTAAGGGATTCTGTACCAATATGAGAGTAGGCATCAACAAAAACAGGGAAGCAGAATGACAGATCTGTGTTATTGAGCATGGGTGATCCAGTTTGGCTGGAGTTTGCATGATTAAGTCCAGAAGTGTTTTCTACATGGTAAGATATTAGCAGTCTTTCTGAGCACTGTTTACCATCCAAATCCTGTTCTCAGAAATCCTGACATCTAGTAGAGTAGACATATGTGGACACATGTAACTATAAGGAAACATAGGCCTACTATAATAAAAAGAAAGCTATGATACTGTTGTAAACATTATAGAAACCTAACAGCGAGAATTGTGCTGTACTGTTGCAATTACTCATTGGTGATTACTCATTTCAAAAGTTATATCATACCTTATCAATTGGAGCCATTCTTTTTGAACCAGGTACTCTTTAACCCATGCTGTTCCCTTTAGTTGCCACTTACCTTAATTGAAATATAAGTCCTGGCCTTTATCAGAAGCAGTTTGCTTGATTTTTTTTTCTTGCCCTTCCATAAGGTGGCAATGAA